TGACCAAGTGAGGTCTTTTAGGGCTTTCTGGGAGGAATTAGAAAAATACATTATTTTTTCATTTAAGAAGAAAGTTCAGTTAATCAGTTCTTGATTTGAAACTCTGAAATTGTATGGTCTGGACTTCCTCTGCAAAGAACAGTAGGGTAAAACACAGATAACTAGGGATCCTGAGAATCTGAAAAGAGAGCAGAGCTAGTAGCTTAGAAAAGAGGAGTGGGACAGATGATGTAGCAGGGAGAGAAAAACCGGGCACCAATAGCAAGGGCTGTCTTCTAACAACCTCATGCTCGAAGGACGGCATCCTGCTACTGACTTAACTAAGGAAAATGTTGTCATTGTCCCCTGCATTCACAATATCATATGGTGACAGAAAGATCTGGTTATAAGTCAGTCTCAGTCACAGCCTGAAGTATGCAGAGTGAAGTGTAACAGAAAGAGAGTAACAGAGCTTATTTATTTTAAAAAAAAGAACTAGATTAAAAATGGACAGGCAAGCACATTCTTAATTGATGCCTTATTCTTTACAAGACTGAATGGACGAAGTCATGAGCAGGAGTCAGGTTACTCACAGGCCTTCAGCAAAACACTCGAGCAACAAGGTGTCCCCTTTGAGGACGGTAACTGAAGACTCACTGCCACTCTCTGTAGGAGGCAACAGCAGTTTGGGTTTTCTTTGCTTGATTGAATTTGCTACAAAATGGGGGGAAAAAATGTCAGATTTTTTTCAAACTAAGATAGTTAAAATTCTGTGGCACTAAATCTTTCTTAACACATATGTATCTATGTATTTATGTGTGTGTGTATGTGTGCCAATATGTGTGTTTACATATATATGTGTATATATACATTTAAATATATTTCTATTAAAACAGACACCTCTTCTCTCTTACCACGAAGCATGGGTTGTTTGTCCCTCAGATGCGTTAAACTAAGTGTAGCACCAAGTTTTAAGAAGGTTGTGATTTATACCAGTTCTTCCAATTCAGAAATTCAAACATTGTTTAAGATAAATAATTTCTTGATGAAGAACTTAGGTTAATTCATAGTCTATGATTTTACAGTCTACACCTCTAATCATATGTGGTCATATTTGATGGCTGTGTGTTTTTCTTCAATTTAATGTGCCTATGTATTTTATAAGTTTCCTGTTAAAAACACAGCTTCCTGGGCTGTGCACCCAGAAATTCCAATTGAGGAAGCTTGTGGTAGATACAACGCGTCTATGAATCAAGCTCTTCAGGCAACTCTACTAATAGTTTAAGGCCCTCAAAGAGAAGCACTGTTTTAGGAAATTATTAGCAAGCATTCTCACTAACTACAGATTGAAACATTCATTCCATTTCTTATTTTCTTAAGAATACTTTTCCAGTACAACGGCAAAGTAC